GTAGTCCCAGCTACTCAGGAGGCTGAGGCAGAAGGATTGCTTGAGCCCAGGAGCTTGAGGTTGTGCTGACGCCAGGGCACTCACTCTAGCTCGGGCAAAAAGAGTGAGACTCTGTCTCAAAAAAAAAAAAAAGAATGTTACCCCAAATATGATACATTTACAGCCATTTGGTTTAGGTTGACCCACAGATGTCGTGCTATGTAACATTGACCCCCACAGTGAGAAAGTTAGTGTCTTTTGAAATCTCTGCCCATCTTCCTGAAGAGAAAGTCTCAGTTTGCTGATAATATACTGTTAACACTTCTTCTAATGCAAGATATTCCACTTTCACTGAGAGCAGCCCTCTAGCCTCAGAGCCTTCGGTGGTCAGCAGTTTCTGGCTAGAATCTAATAACATTGCTCTGCCTTCCTGTTTAATAGCTATCTGCTGTTTCTGGCATTCTTTTTTTCCTATTTCATAGGATATAAAGTTTTCTCTGAAAATAAAGGCGAGTAAAAAAAATATGAGTGATTTGAAAAAAATAACTATCAAGTAAATAACTAAAGGCAGTAATCAGAAAAGGCAAAAATGATGAGGGTGGGACTCAAATGAATGAAGTTTTGGAAACAAGGACTTACGTGCCTCATGCGTTTTTACTGAAAGAGCACTGGGCTGGGAGATTGAAGAGCTGGCTGTTGCTAGCAAGTGTGTGACCTTGGCCCCCTTCCTTCCCTTCCGCGGGCCTCAGTTTCCCCACGTGTGAAATGAGGATGATGCCTGTCTTTGTAGGGTGATTACTTTGAAGCTATCATTATTTTTAGAAGTCCCACGGGGAAGTAGACAAATAAGAAACGCTAAGAGTCAATTTGAAACAGAACCTTGCTTCGTTGGGCTAATGTAACCGACATGATGAACGTTAGACGTTCTAAGAAGTCTCATTCTCCTGTGACCTGGTGTCAAGGGAGAGGCGCCCCTGGCTGCTTAGCTGTCTTGAGGCTACCTATGGGGGTCCCTTCCTATTCTCAGAGTCAGCTGACTCTGATGCCCCCACCCCCAGCCCCATGGCCAAGGCAGCTTCGCATCAGGGCGGAGCTTAGGATGGGTCAGCCAGGCCTACCATCTCTCACCTGGATGAGAGCAGCTGCCTGGCGCCTGGTCTCTCTACGTCTCCCCTGATGCCCTTCAGACCCACACTCCACAATCTGACCGTGCCCGTGTCAACGCGAAGGGTTTCTGAGCAGGGCAGTGACATGCGTCAGCCTGTGTATTCAGCTGATGGCAGAGATTGCTCTTTGGCACCTGGAGGGACCACGGCAGTGGGGTGAGCAGCTGTGGCCCCCAGCCAGGAGCCAAGGGGTGCCTGAATTCGAGCAAGGCAAGCGAGGATGCAGAGATGGGGAAGGAGGGCGCAGAATGGCTCAGAGGTACAGTGACAACCTCCGGGACTGAGGGAACAGGGACACGGTGCGGGGACGAAGGGTTAAGTCGACTCCAGGCTTTCCCTCTGTTAAAGCATCTGTGTAGTGCTCACTGATGTTCCTCTGCAAGACTCCCCCAGAGGTGGTGACCATTCTCCTGAGCCCGTGTCTGCTTGGGAGAAAGTCAATTCTCTCCTGACTGAGGGGCCCTCTCTGCGCTGTTGAGGCCAGCCTTGCCCCGGGGATCCAAATGTCTTTGTCCCAAGTCAGGATCTGGCAAGATAGAGACCACCGGCAACCTGCAGAAACATTGTTAAGGTTGCAGTCTGGGGTCCCCTGCCAAGTCCCAGGGGCAGATGGGGAGGAACGTGATCTTCCAAGTAAAGAATAATGTTCCAGAGGACACACCAGTCTTCACTGCAGTCTGCCCCAACAGACTCTGCTCAGTCCTACCCTGTCCCCTTGCTCAGGCTGTGCTCGCTCCAGGGCGATTCTCCTGCCTCCCCCATTGGTCTAGATTTTAGCCCCATCCTGCAAGGTTCAGGCTCCTGCCTTCATCGCCCTTCCAGCTCACGATAACCTTCTGCCTTGCTCATTTTTTCAAAACTCGTTGCTACATTATCACCAACTTCCTATTACACAAGCATAGCCCCTACTACCTCTGACTAGATCATAAAGCTGTTACTGTCTGGGGCCAGGCTTCTTCTTTACTTGCACTCACCCCAGAGCCTACACAGAGCGCAGCACTTAAATGACATACTACTCCAAGGTGGTTTGAGTGGATGGGTGGAATGTTGCATTTGAATGATCAAGGCAGCCTCAAGTTCCAAAGGGACAAAGAGTCCTCCCCTATGAGGTTGTAAGTGCTCCATCTTATGCTTTATTGGTGGCCACCATAATTCCTAGCAGGCCCTTAATAAATGCGGAAGGAGGAGGGAAGGAAGGAGGACAGAAAGGAAGGAAGAGAGATCAGTAGACAGAGAAGTGGATGAACAGATAGAATCAAAGTGTTTTGTATCCAAACAAGGTAGGGAGGCGGGGGGGGGCATGGGAATGTAGGCCTACTAATGGGGGTTATTAGGTAGGAAGGCAGGTAAATAAGTTGATATATAAATATGTGGGTGATTAGGTCAGTAGCAAAATTGATAAATGGATGAGTAGGCATGAGAAGATAAGTATATATA